CCCCAGCCACCTGAGGACAGTTCCTCCCAGGAACACCTGTTTGCTCCAATTGAAGCCTGTCCAAATGGAGTCCTGGGGATCAGAAGCTTGCTCTTCAAATGTCCCACCATTCTACAATATTTATTCCCCACCTGTCTGATGGCCGTGATAGCTTGGGAATGCTCCAGCCAGGGAAAGCTGTTTCTTGGCCCTGACATGGCAGAGCTAACAGCAGCTAATGTTCACCCAGAATCTGGTCTGAATCCAGTTGCCCCAGAGATCAAAAATGTCTCTTCTTTTGCTTTACAGTCTACCAGGCTTAGCAAAATTTCTTAAGGAGGCAGAAGTAAACAATTTTTCATCCTCATACCGATAGATTGCAAAAGCAAGTTACACCTTCCACTTTGTCTCTTAAATCTGACTTTTGGGTTTTCTACTCTTATTCATATTAAATAGTTGCCCAACACTAAAAATGAGGATTAGTAAATTAATTTCCCCAATAAGAGAACTATTAAAATCCAGAAGGTAAAAATGCTATAAAAATGATCTTAAACACATAATTCAATATGCAGTTCAGGAAAGGAAAAAGATGCCCACATCAAACTCCAATTATAATAGAGAAATAATGTTTTATTTAAAAAAATTCTAGCCATGAGAAAACTGTACATTTGAAAAGCTTACATAAAGTCTTATAAAATAAGAGACCTTTTATCTCCTCCAGATCCATGAGCTAGAAAATACTTTATCTATGCAATTTCAAGGCACATAAAAACCCCAGTGAATAAATAAAATGTTCTTGTTTTCTTTATACAGAAGCTTTAAAAATTATCCATATAAATAGCTTGGCCTTGAACAGACAGATTAAAACACCTAAAGGCTATGGCTTCAGATCACATATACAGAATAGAAAATGAATGCTTTTCTTTACTGGCTGAGCAAGTTTGCTACTAACTAAATTTCTATAAACCCATTTGATGAGAAAGATTTAACTGGAATATATGAAAAAATTTAGTGTTTTAAAGTGATATGCTTATCAACTAATTAATATGCCACAATAAAATAATCCATGTACTCTGCCAACATTCTTTTTTTTTTAATTTATTTTTTTGGGAGGTAATTAGATTTTTATTTATTTATTTATTTTTGATGGAAGGACTGGGGATTGAACCCAGGACCTTGTGCATGCTAGGCCTGCACTCTACTGCTGAGCTCTACCCCTCTGCTGCCAACATTATTTACATCTATTCCTGAATCACATGTACAGTAGGTATAGTCAACATGCAGTATAATTTCAAAGGTCATAAAATTTTATAAATACATGATTTTAGTCAAGGGTGTGAAAATTCTCAATATCTTTCTAAAATTCTGGTAAATAAAATGTAGGAAAAGGTCTTTCATAATTGTTTATAATTAGAACTATTTAGGTGACTTCAAGCCTTTCTTAGTTATTTGGAGACAAACTCCATTTGCAATTAAAAAAGAAACTTCTCAAGAAGTTGCTGGATCATATTCATTTTACGAGCAGATGCAGTTACAAGTTGTTAACTTCCTGTATACCCTCAAAATAGCTGTGGCCAAAAAAGATCTTTCGAACACCATCCCCACCCCCACCCCACCCTGCCAGCATTCAAATTCTGCTGCTGGAAGTTATTCCCTTGCGGCTGTCATAAAAAGGGAAGCAGCATACCCCACGGGAGGGTGAAGAATCAGGCAGTAAATTTCAGTATCTCTCACTGACCATACAGCACACGTTACTATGTTTTACTGTTTCTTAAAAATCTTCAGCTACCTAGGAGTAGCATTCTGAGTCTATTGCATCTCTGATGCCTAACAGATTCCCTTTGACACAATAAATATTAAACATCTGCTGCTGAAGAAGATGCTTCTGCTGTGGCTGTTACTGCTAAGAGGCTGCTAAGAACACAGATTCTGTGGCTAATACTGGGGTATTGGTCCAACTTTGCCCCATCTTGTTGGAACGACCTTGCGCAAGACTCAACTTCTGTAGGTCTGAATTATCTACAACGTAAGGCTATAACGACAATACCAAGTCACAGACTTCTTATGAAGGTTACATGAAATGAAATAATGTGTGTGAATGGGTCTTACAAACTATAAGGCCCTATCTAGATTTTAATGGTTATGACTGTCTTTAAGGATGTAATTTTGACAAATGATCTGATTTCCCAAAGAAAGCATTCCTGAAAACATTCTTGTGAAACTTGGTGGAAAATTCAAAGTAAGTGTTTCTTGTAGGCCAACACATTTCAAATAAGCCAGAATATCAACGTAATTCAGTGGTATTTAGCTGAGGCATTTCACACAGCTCTGTAACAATGTCTCGTTTCTCAACTTTTTTGGAGTTGGTTGTGGACTCTTCTAAAAATTTTATGGAAAATTCCAAGAATGATGCATATACACACATACACAAAAAATTTTCAGAGAACTCCAGTGGTGCAGAGACTGTAAAACCCACCCCAGGACCACTGCCTTACCCCTTGAGACACTGAACATGGTTTTACAAAAGCACTTGGGGACCTGATTCAGACACTTCTAACTGATTTGGGAATTAAAAAGCTGGTAGTTTTCTTTTTCATCATAAAATGCATTATGGCATCAGAAGATGGAAAGTATAGTGGTTTCTTCCCCTGTGTAAACCATAATTAAACAAAAAACTGTGCTGTTCTTTCATAATTCCAAGCCTCTTCAGCCCTTTTTTAAAACGTGTCATGAAATTTACCATTGTTACATTTCCCCCATTGATAGTCCTACCGTAGTTCCAAAGTTCTTCACATAACATTACAAAGGAAGCCACTAACTCCTTAAACAGGATATTGAGGTTAAAAAAAGAATACATCTCCTGTCATTTCAGCTACTATCTTGTCAAAAAATGTTGGGAACAATTTAAAATAAAAAAAAAAAATGAAAACAACCTCAATCAACATTAGCGAGGTGGCCAACTTCTGCAGTTTAAGAAGTATTTTAATTACACTTTAGGATATTGAATGTCCTTCTTTAGAGTGTTTTCTTCTTCTTTTTTTTTTTTTTTCAGAAGTGCAAAGAATTCTTTCCTAATACCTAGATGACAAAAATCTCAAGATGTACACAGTTGTTTCTTATTATGGCTTCCCTGGAAAACATTTCTGGGAAAGCACAATTCCCAGCCACTTACTTTGTTTACAACAGACAAAACTGCTTGTGTGGTATAAATAGGAGTCTGTCCTTAAATGCTGCTGAAAAATAAAATGCAACCATGAAAAGGAGCTATTTCCTGCCCCCAAGGTGGCTTAAAAAAATTTCTTAGCTACTTTAGGAACAGCACCAAAGCATAAATAATAATTACCGATTGCCACACAATAAAAGACTAATTTTATAAAAAAAAAAAAGAAAAGAAAAGAAAAGAAAGAAAAAGAAAATGAGTTACATATTCCAGAGATGCCCTCAGAATTGTCAGCATTAGAAGGTTTTCTTATCCTGCAAGATTATGAAACCCCTTTTTGTCCTCCTGCATTTGTGATGTATATCTATAACTCGTTCTTGTTTGTGCAGATAAGCCTCGCCTTGTCTCCCTAACTGCACTTTCAAAAGAAGATTCACAGTTGTTTGACTTTTGATCTGGGGAGCAGCTAGCTCGACCACCTGCACTGTGCATGAGCTGTTACTGAGCTCGCTTTGTCCCATCTTATAACACAGCGAGCCTTTTTAAATTGATGTGTGAATACGCTAATTTACAATGTGAGCGTTCAAACAAAAAAAATATGGTGGTGGTGGCAGTGGTGGTGGCGGCAGCAGGGGCAGCAGAAGAGGAAGGGGGAGATTTGAGAAGCGAGAAGCCCGGACACTCGCTTTATAAAGTTCAGATACTGTTCACTGCCTCTGGCATTTATTGAAACAGATGGCCAAAGGCCTCCCTCAACTTACAATGGAGCAGACAGTGGTGTAATGGTGTGGGGGCCTGGAATTGTAAAATGCTGTTTGGTGATGGTATACGTTAATAAATAGCCATTTACAAGGGGGCCGAGGGCTCCATTACTTGTTTATAAGGAAGGCCTAGGGTTCCCTGCTTCTAGTTAACAGCTCAAGGCTGCATTCAAAGAAAGCATTGATGGTGAAGGTGACGTGTGCCCTGCATAGTCTACATTGCATTAAAGAATGGCATGTTTCCTGGGGAAAAAAGGAAAAATCATAAAAGAAAGGCAATCTGAGAATTAGGTCAAACTGTGGCTTGCAACCAAAGAAAATATAAGATGCTTTTCTACTGTGATTAAATAATGGACAAAAATATTCTGTTACTGTGAAGTTACTTATTTTACCTTTGAAAGAACATGTTTACCTTGTAGACAGAGTACAACAGATAAAAACCTGCAGGGTTTCCACTAATTTACATCCAGGAGAACCTAGACAGCAACTTTGAAACCCTTCTCAGCCGTTCTTCCAAAGACCATTAATGAATGATCAGGCCCACGACCAGGGAGCATGGCTCCCAGCTAAATGTCACCAGGCTCCTGACCGCCAGCAGCTTACCATCCAGACCTGAGGACCCAGAAGGGAACAGGTCACATGGAAGCTCCTCATTCCCCTGTCCCTCATGTCCCCATGAGATCCGTCACCACTTCCCAGTAACCATTCTATCAAGGTCTGTCTCAGTGACAAGAAAACCTAAGCTTGACTTCAACTAAAGGCTATTTTCATTTTATCCAACACCATGGACCCTCTGACTGTGTCTCCTGCTTTGCTTGCAGGTGAGACATTCTCCCACCTGTCTGGATACTGGTACAATCATTTGTCTAAAGGCCGTGTTTTGGGGGTAGTAAAGTGATGCCTGGCTTTGTTTAATTTCTCTCTTACCCGGATATCCTTCCCTATTTATTTCAGATGGTTGCACAAAATTGTGGGGAACTATATAAATTCCCTTGTGGGATGAGACAGGGGTTAAGAAAGGTCTAGAAGAAAATTAAGACATGGTCATTAATAATTGACCACAACGTACACAACGCAAAGCAGAAGACGTCAGTGCCTCATGAGAAGCACAAACTACCCTGAAGGATCGGAGCAAAAACAGCTCGTCCCTGGCTGGGAGACGGACGAAGCCTTGACGAAGACAGTGGTATTTTACCTGAGATCCCCAGTACAGATAAAAGTTCACCGGGAACATTCTGAAGGTGACATCCTTTTTCCTTCCCCCTACCCAGGATTTATTCCCCTTTCTAGTAAAAGTCCTGGATTTTACTGAGGGAACTATTCTCAGTTCACGTGTCCATCGCCTGCACAAGGTTTCTAGGTCTAAAATATCGGATCCTAGATTAATGGGATTTTTACATAACCAGAGCCACCCAGAAGCAATAAGACTCCGCACCACGACTTTTGTTGGAACTACTGGGGAAAAAAATGGCTCTATTCATTAGGTGTCACTGGGAGGGCTGGCAACAGCTTTGTCTCCACAAGAAGAAACCCTGATGAAAGACACAACCACACACAGGAGAGCTGAGATGAGAGACAGAAAGAGCAAGACCTAGTCCTGATGACACTGTTTGATTCCTGATTCACTCTTAGATTCTATTGTGTTTGAAGTCGCTTCTGCACTTGAACCATTTAGTTATGTGTGACAATTATTTCCTTTTTTTGTGTATGGCCAGTTTGATCTGGGTTTCTGTCACTTGCATCCAGAAGATTCCTGACTAATATATATGAGAAAAGGAGAATATTCCAGGGAGAAGCACCAGAAAAAGCAAAGGTATAGAATTAGTGAAGAGTTAAGGTGGGCTTGGGAGATGGGAAGTAGTTCCTCTTAGCAGGGACACAGGGTCTGTCCAGAGGGTGTAGCCCCCAGCAAGGTTAGAATGTTCACTGGAAGACCTTGGAGATTAGACTAAGGAGGACATGGGTCAGCAGGCAATGAGGAGCCATGGGAGATTTCTAAGCCAGAAAGAAACAGTACTTGTTTTGCACTTTGAAAGATAAATTGGCCAATAATATTTAGAAGGCATAAAAGGGGAAGAAGAGGCAGAGACAGATGAGCAGGCTCCCCTCCCTAAACTGTCCAGCGAGAAGGCAGGACTCTCATTTGGGAAGAACTGAGCTTGAAGGATGTCTCTGCTCTGAGCAGTACTCGGGTAGTTCAAGGTGCGTTGCCAAGTTGGGGTCACAGAGTAGGGAGGGAGAGTGGTGGCACCAGGACAGGGACATAAGGAAAGGATGCTGGGGGGTTATTTTTAATATTATTATTAATTTTTAATTTGATAAAAATTACTAGGGGAATCTGGGAGTGAACAAAAGAAAATTTTAAAACATTCATGTAGAATTCATCAACCTCTAACCTCTAATGAAAAAGAATATGGAAACGAATATATATATGTATGACTGAACAATTATGCTGTACACCAGAAATTGTCACAACATTGTAAACTGACAATAAAGAAAAAAACAAGATATAAAGGAAAAAACAATAAAATGAAATTAAATAAGATTCATCAACCCCAGACACTATTAATTAACATTTTGATTTTAGCCTTTGCTCCCAGGCTTTTTTTTTTAAGCAATGATGATGCTAATAACTAACATTTCAACATTTCAGTAAATGTTGTGTGTCCTTTACATGTATTGACTCATTTAACCCTCATAAGAATTTATGAGTTAGTGACTACCGTCATCCCCATATTACAGACAGGGAAACTGAGGTATAGAGAGTGAGATTCTTGCCAAAAGTGAACAGCTAGAAAGTAGCAGAGCCAGTGTGACTCCAAAGCCTACCTCTTACTCACTAAAGCGCATGCCTCTCGATGAATACACAGAAATTTCATTGTAAATAATTAAACGAAACTGGGATAGTTTTCTCCAATAAGGATAAGGCTCCAGGTGATACAAAATTCTACACAAAAATGAAATTTCTTAACAATGATACTTGTCAACACTGGAAGTAAGGGAGATTCTAGACTCACCCTGCACATCGTTATTGGTTGCAATTAATGCCACACAACCTGTGCTCAAAAATAAAACAATTCTAAAGGACTCCTTAAAAACACACTCACTTGGGACTCCACTGGTACACAGCAGCTTCCACGCCTACACAGACCAGACCCAGAGCCTCCAGTCCATCCTAAATAGTAGGATATGGAGGACTTGTTCATTGTTTGCAAGAATAATCACCTGCCCATCCAGAATGGTTTCCTGACTCTCTGAGGCAACCAGTTCTCCACAGAAGAAGGGTAAGAGTCCAGCACAGCAGGAAAAACACGCTCTGGAGGCAGATCGCTTATGTAGAGCTGGATAATATTTAACAACCGTTCCTTATTTCTTAAAATAGGAGTAATGATACCTGCCTTACAGAGTTGTCATGAAGATGAAACAAGATAATGTATAGCAGGTGCCTAGAACAGTGACTGCTACCTAAGAAGCATCAGTGAGCGTGTAAGTAGCAGTGTTTTTGTTATTAAAAGACACAGTATGGTGAAGAATAATGGCTCTTAAAATTCAGAATTTTGCAGACCAGTCAAATGTGAGGGGAAGCGGAGAAGGTGGGAAGACTGACAAATGGTTGCCAATGTTTGGTCCGTCTGAGGATTTCTTTTTCCATTTGCTATAACAAGCGACTATTTTTAAGGAAATTGTTCACTATCACGATTATTTTACAGAAGAAATGAGTCATAACACAGATAGCAGATAACAGTAAACATTTGCATAATAAAACCTCACCAGTTTGCTTTTATTCTTCTCATTTCATTCGTAGTTAGTGAAAACTGGCTCTGAGAATCTTTTGTGTTGTGCATTCAAAAGAGAGAGAGCTAAGTTCATACCCTAATTCTGCACATTTCTATATATGTGACCTTGGCTAGTTTACTTCACCGAGCATCATTATTTTCACCTGTGAAATGGGGACAGGCGGCTTCCTTCACAGGGTTCTTAAGGATTCGATCTGATCATGTGTGTAAGCATGGTTAGGGTCAGACATACACTTAAGGCAGCTGGTAGAGTTACCACTGATAGATAACTTTAGATGCTAAATGTCTAAAACAGGACCAAAATTCTATGTTTAAAGCTACAAGAATGCTACTAAAGAAAAACAAATATAAAGAAATCCAAAGCTGTTCTTTAGTTTGGTAAAAACATCACCCATGTCAGCCGTGAAGGGGTCAGAGGACGAAAGAAGTAAGTCAAGTATATGGTAATAAATTTGTCCACACAAAAACGATCAAGATTTAAAAAAAATTCTTCTCTTTGTAGTGCTATTTATTCTAAGCTTAGATCCTAAATCTGTTAATTCTAAAGACTCTGCAGCAAATTGAATCATTTTGTTCTAAAAGAATAAGCAATTGATTAAAAGCTGAAGAATATCTTAGAGGTTAAGGTTTTGCTGAACTAATTTCAGGTCAGGGCCCATGTTCATTGCTAGTAAAAATAGGCCAAGAAAGGGAAATGACATAAAGAGAGAAGAGCAAAACACAGAGAAAAATGAAAATATAAATGTAAGGTACTTTTCTGTGCATAAACATTGAGAGTAAATTCTCAAGGACATTTTTCTCACAAGTCTTGAAAACTCTCAACTGTTGAATTTTCAGATATTACAATAAGAACAATTAAATATAACAAAATGTTTTCTGGGCAAAATGGTGTGGGGCAGAGAGAATGAATTTTTAAAGAAGATTTTAAAAACATTCAGTCACAGCATACTTCTTTAAGAATAAAGCTGTTTAATAAAAAATTATATTTCTATTGCTTATGGAAATTGCATTGATATTTCTGATATATTTGCCCTTAGGAATCGTCCTGACAGTACACTTAAGTTTTCCAGATGTTTCTACCTGTCATTCTACCAAAGCAACAAGACCATATTTAAAATGGAAAATGTGATAACAATGAGAGGTGGCAATTTTTCCCCAGACGGACTCAGAAGTAGCTTTAACAGAAATACATGTATTAAACTGTAAGGGGATTAAGTGATTCCAGTTATAAAATAAAGAAGTCACGTGGATATAATATACAGCATGGAGAATGTAGTCAATAATATTGCAATAATTTTGAATGGTGACAGATGGAAACTATATTTGTGGTAATCATTTTGTAATGCATAAAAACACTGGCTTACTATGTAGTACACCTGAAACTAATATAATATTATAAGTCAATTATATCACAATTAAAAAATGGTAATGTATAAATAGTGGTAGCTGTGTCAACTGCATTTAATCCCATCTGCTTTGTTTATATTATAGATCAGTTACAAAACACCTCTCAATAGCTATATACTTAAGAAAGTTACTACATACATGCTGGAAGGGTAAACAGAATTCACCTTTTTAAGGAAACATTCTGATGTTGTGTAGAGTGTGTGTGTGTGTGTGAGAGTGTGTGTAAATACTGGGGACAAATATGAGTAGTAGAGAGGAAATTATTTGATATTAAGATAATCGTATAGAAAAAGATGTTCTTGAAAAAATATTATGGAGGGAGAGAGTATAGCTCAGTGGTAGAGCGCATGCTTGGCATACAGGAGGTTCTGGGTTCAACTCCCAGTACCTCCATTAAAATAAACAAACAAACAAACCTAATTACTTCTTCCCCCACCAATTACGTATACTATTTCTTTTCATAAGTCTTTTGCCAGCATATACATGCAGTCTATGAGCCAACATAAATTTGTAACATGTTCTCCAAATGTACCTCAATGGAGATCTCAAATTATAACTCTGTCTAAAGAATCCTTTAGATACTTTTTGAAACAAAGATACAAGGACCGATAGATAAATTCTTCACTCTTTAGAGGTAAAAAGAAATAGAATCACGATGTCCTGTGTTTTCTGACTGGAAATCTTAAACACTTCTATTTTCATTTTCACTGACTGCCTGCACTGTTTGATCTAATAAGACCTCCCAGCCAAAGTATAGGAAGAAATACACACGCAGACATGCACATACATGCAAATATATGGAGAGCAACATTTAGACAACCAATTATAATAGTCAAATTTTGTGGGAGCCAACGAAAAATCCATTTTTTTTGGCCCCCACCACTGCATGAATGGTTATTTGTTTCATGACCATTTTCATTATTACCTGAATACCATTTTATTTAAAACTCTGTCTACAGAGTCAGGAAATGAACAGTTTGTCCCCAGATAGCTCTTCATCTTATGTCAAGACAGAAGAAAAATTACTCTCCAGGAAATCAGCTCTAGTTGCATTCTGATGTCAAGTTTTACTAACATAATTTTGAACAGATCATTTTCCCTTTTGGTTTCTTCCCTTTGGTGTTACAATATGGTTACACGAAGAACACTTTATTCACTTATTTAGGTTGAATCAGTTGCTAATCTCACTAGATCTGTCTCAATATTTTCCGCATACTTCAGTTCCATTCAAAACTCATGATTCCATAAGTCATCTTCTATTTCTCCATTTTTTGCAAACATATTGGTTGTGTAGCTATTTATGTCATATTTTCTATTGGTTATTGGTTTTTTGTTTTCCTGGCACCCTATTTAATGACCAGTGAGGATTCATTGGAGTTGCAGAATATTCAATCACTTCCTGGAGAATTAAGCAATTTTATGAATTCCTACAGCACTTTATATGCATGTATTCTCTACCAGACTTAAGTACGCTGAAGGCAAGGGCCAAACTGGGTTCACCTGAGGAGCCCCAAGTCCTTGTATAGAGGCATGAAATATTTACTGAGGAAGTGCATAAAGAGAAAAAGAAAGAAAAGAAAGGAGGAAGGAAATATGGAAGGAAGGAAATAAATTTTTTAACCTCATTGGAAATTAATAAAAAATTAAAAAGCACAAATGGTAGTGGCTGCCATGTACTCATTTTTATTTCCCCATCTGCCTCTGGTCACTCTCACAGAAAACCAGGTGGGTTTCTTTCCGTACAGCCTTTGGTGCTGACGGAACACTGGTTCCACCTGTCTTCACAATGGACTGTTAACCAAAATGACTCAAATGAGGGGCTGTGATATGCCACTTCTGTTCATTTGAAAAATTTAAAAACAACCAAAGTTTAAAAAATTAAAAATAATCAGCTATCTTTCTTTTAAGTGAAATAATTTCTTTGGTCTATTGTAGAATAGCCTCAGTCATAAAGAATTTATCATATGAAAATAAATAAGCTTATGGTACAGGTCGGTAAACAGGCACCCTGCACCAAGAGGACAGTCATTTCTTTTACACATTTATACATTTAGAAAGAGAAGCACACCATTCAATATTATAACTTCTCTTAAACCAGAAGCACCTGCTGACACACGGTGTAGCTGTGCAGTTGTGTAAGAGAATGTGACTTCTGTTTCTGCAATGAAACCGCACCAGCGCTGGAAGCGAATGGGAGGGATGTTAACAGAGGAAGCAAAATCAGAGCAGTAAATAGAAGACTTCCTACTAGAAACATAAACCTGGTTCCGCTTCTCGAGAGACTGTTTTTCCAGGGAATAATAAAAAAAAATAATGAAGTGAAGAAGTTGGTAAAATATTTTTGCCTTTTCCCCAGTCCAAAATAAATTGTATATCATATGGGATAGCAATTAGAAACTCAACCAAAACCACCATCTGCGTTTGGTTCCCAAAGACTCAGTTAGGTTACAGTATTGATTAAAAGTACCTGGCTACCTTGGCTGATACCAAGATCCCAGTTGTGCTTAGTGAAAAACACAGTCACCAATATGCACAGGTGGACTTAAGACTTTTCTTGGCTCAAATATACCAAGGCGATGTTCATCTGGGGATTTTTTTTATTTCTGTTCACATTCTAGACAGAGCCCAAAAGGAGATGAGTCAGTGGTGGACTGAGTTTGCCTACAAAGAGAACCCCAAGTCGATTTCAGCAGAGTAATTTCCTTCTGTAGACTTCTGAAACAACCCTGTTAGTATGATTTTTCTGAAGAAAGCCCAGTCAAAGGTTACAGAAGTCGTTTGTGCTTCACCCTCTCTAAATGACTTGCAAATTTATTCAAACACAATATGAGGAGATGCTGCTTTATTTGTTGAAATAACTGTCTGCAGTGTCCTGAACAAAAGGGTGAGGTACATCAAGCAGAAATGTAAACAGAAATACATTGGTTTAGAAACCCATAAATCCTTATTTGAATCTGCCAACCTGAAAGCCATATAGAGCTCGGATAAACTATTTTTCCTAAATGCTACATCTGATTAAGCCGTACCATTAAATGACAGCTGAACTTTAACATTAATATGATATTATTTAAATAACCACATGATTTTTTTTTACACTAAAAATGATGAATGATTTCTGGACAGCTCAATTGACATAAAGCAGGAGGGCTCTTTAATAAGACTTGACAAAATGGAGACATATGTAGAATATTTGTTACAGCTCACATTGCAGGGGCCCTCCCAGGGAAGCAATAGAGGATTTTCTCCTTTTTTTTTTCTTTTTTTATTGTTTATAGGCACTGAAGCATTCCTTTCAATCGTCACTTCTCTGTGGATTTGGAGTTTTTCTAGGTCGTTTACATATTACCCTTAATCCGAGAATTTGATGGTTTATGATTTTGAATTGGGACTGTGGACGCAGGAGAAGGAGGGGCACGTGAAGTTATGTTGACATGGGTGGAAAGTGTCCCAGGAACTCAGACTTGCAACTGATTAGCCTCATAGAGAAATCACACTGGCCACAATGGCCTGTAGAAGACTAAGCCACTATACATTTGACTGGTTCTTAAGCAAACATAACAAACACTCTTTTAGCAAGTTATTATATAAGGATACAGGATCAGAGAAGACTTTGCTTATTTTCCAATAGCTGTCCTGTAGCATCAATGATAAAGAAGGTTCTCATCTTTAAAATGCCAAGGAAGACAATCTAGGGTGATCTCAGCATTCCTCACTCACATTTCTAGCCTCAGTTCCCAACTGAAGGTTGTGTTAGATGATACTCTTATTTGTTAGATCCTGAATGCAACATAATTTCACACTGAATATACCTAAGTCCAAAATGACTCCAATTTCCAGAACAATGAAAGCATTTCTCACTCCCCTCCAAATATACAGAGCGCGGAATGTTACCCACACTTGTTCATTTACTTTCACATATTCCCCCAAATATATTCTGTCGATCAAAGGTAAGTTACACATATAAAACATTAACACTCATTTGCTCGCACATGTGAATTCAGATCATTCAGGTATTCTTTAAATTAAAAAAAATCATCTTTAAGTATACATAAAATCTAAATGTTTCCCCAGAGTCTCTTAAAAAGGAAATGGAAACAAGGCAAAAGAGGGCAAAGTCAACACCAAGTGTGCTCCTGACACCGGACACCAGCATTCCCTCTATAGGAAGGAGGCCATCGAAACAGAAAATAAAACCAACCAGCTCCTGCATGGGGCCTTCCTCAGGCTATGAAAAAATTCTTCCTGTCTAACCCTAATTTTTTCCAATGCTTGAGGTAACCCCCGTAGCTCAAACCTTCTCTCTAATCTAAGTTACTCAGTGTGCGTCCCTGTCCAAACAAGAGTTAATATCAGTGCTCTGTCATTTCAAAAGGGTCTTGACACAGAGTACTAAGAGCAGAAGCTTGCATGCCTGGAAAATGTCCGCTTGCAACAAGATGAAAAACATACTTAAAAAAAGCAAAGTGGAAGAGAGGAAGATAGGTCCCTACCTGGTTCTTACCTTCTTAACATCCCTGTCAGAACCCTGGAGCTTTTCCCCAAGTTAGCATCTGTTTCCCGAAGCTAGGAGGAGAAAAGCAGCATTAAAACAAAACCAAATGAAGCTTCACGCAATTGGATTACTTTTCAAGTGCTCTGGCAAATAATCATTTTCTTCCATAATGGAAAATCCAACTCATAAAAATATTTAAATACCCTAAAATGCATTTTTTTTGACACCTACACAATCGGTGGAAGTTTTTAGGTTTAGAAAATTACACCTAAGAGAGAATCCCAGGAGCTTTAAGCTGGATACTTGAACTGGGTATAAAAGTAAATGTCTCACAGGCTGACAAAGTTTAACATATATCTGGCAATGTTATGAACGGGCACAGTCTTACAGATAGAAATGGAAGCAAGATATATCGAGGGAGGATGAGGCCAATATTTTTCAGCTTTCACTCTGAAAGACCGGACATACTCCAAAATCTCCCTCAATGATCTTCTTCTTAGCTATAGCACTAAATAAAACATCGACCTGGGGGTATTCCAGGATGGAGATATAGAGAGCTTATTCTTTCTCCATCCCACACGCTTTTTGTTCCCCTCTCCCCAGACTCTACATCCCTCCTCCACCCCAGCCATTTTTATATATGCTTACATCCATATTATTATTACTATCCATACATGTGGCCAAGACCTTTTTTGTTGTCTCATCATTTACTCAATTTGTGAAAAGATTGTACCACTTCTACTTACTCTTTCACGTGCTCTCTGTATCTTTTCTCTGTCATGACTGAGGTTTTCCAACATCTCCTGGCCAATTTGCTCTAGGGACAAGAAAACTTAAGTAAGGAAAGAAGAGGGTGCAAGTAAAAAAAAAAAACAACCAAACTTTCAGAAGTACCAAAATGACAATGGGCTCAGAATTAATGTTAAATAAGCATACATTTTACACCAGACATGTATTCCAATTCAGGTACTTGGGGAAGAATATTTTTAAAGTATTTGATACATTTATCTCTTTATCTTAGGTAGGATTAGAGGTGATTTATAATTCAGACTACAGGACATGACCAACATGATTTAGAGATGATGTATGAATTGCCCAAGGCCACCTCAGCATATTATCTGCCAAGATGGAGAGCCCAAGTCCAATGGCCTATCACTTTATCATCATGGAATTTAGCCTTTGGTTTTTACAGGTTATGAATAATGTTGACGTTTCTACTCTGCCTTCCCCACTTCATTACTGTGCTGTTTTCCATATATAAGTGAAACTCTACTTAGAACAATTTTGATTTTAAGGTATTTGCCCCATGTAAACAGTCCTCATGCTCGCAACTGCCACGACCTATTGTTAGTGGAACTATCTTGAAGCTTCTCTTCTCTCGGAGCAAGGGCTCACTGAGTGAGCTCTCAGCTGCTGTGGATATTTGAGTCAGGGAGGTGCTCTCCTTAACAAGTAGTTGAGGAGAGCTCAAGTTGAAGCCAGAACTTCCAAACACTTATACTGGTACAAGCAGCTTAGAACATTCATTAAAAAGCCGCAAGGCTGAGCTCCAATGAGGTTTTTCTCTGTAGTGATTATCACATTTGGTTGGCGCTGCCTGGCTCTCCTCTGACTGTAGACCCTTTTACAAGAGTGCAGCGATGTCCTGACAAATCCTCAGCAGCTCTGAGCAATTTTTTTTTCCGGACTCATTCTCCATCACCTGGGAGGTGACTTACTCTGTAATAGCAGTATGACTCTTTCGTAATCCTGGCAACTCGTCGGACTACCTTATTCTACATTTCTTTTCTTTTTTTCTCTTGTATTGTCTCTAAACCCATAACCTGTAACAACAATCAACTCTGACTTATAAGCTGATAGGAATATTCAACAAGCATCTGTCACAAGAACATCACTATGGCAGTTATTTGGCTCATGTATGCACACTGACAAACTTTTTAGAAGGCATCCTAAAAACGGTAGAGCAGGGATTAGGCCATATGGAGAGCTTTGGCTGTGAACTCACGCTGCCTGAGCCTTAATCCAGTACTGGCACTTGCTAGCTCTGAGGTCTTGCATAAATTACCTCACTTTGTTGTGCCTCCTTCTCTAAAATGGGGATAAGAATAGTTCTAATTATGGGGCTGCTGTAAAGGCTAAATGAGATCATCTAGTTAAAATGTTTAGTACAGTGACTGGCCTATAATGATAATAAACATTTTTTGAATGATCATGATCAATATAAAAAACCAATAGACTATTATGACCTTGATGCCCTCCGAGGTCCTTCATAATCCACTTGAACTGCAATTCTATTCACAGGAAAAAAAAATCTGTCCTATCTTTCCCACAAAATTGTTGTTATAGTCAAATGAGACAACTTAACTAGAAGTGTTTTGAAAGCTATCGAGTAGCATGCAAATGCATGTAATTGTATAGTATGTAAGAATGCACCCAGTGAATAATCATCAAGTCCCTACTCCGTGCCAGGTTGAGATGCTGGGGACATGGCCAGTAAACAAGATCAAGCCCTTCCACTCATGAACTTCTGTACAAATAGTGACGATTTAGCAGTTAAAGGACAAATGCTACATGAGGGTTTGTATTTCATGGCAGATCAGAAAAAGGACCGTAAATTCCTTTCATGACAGCAAATCCAAATAATAAGAATTGCTTAAGTACAATAACATAAATTATATTTTTTGACACCTAGGCTTACGGAAAATTCTTCTCAGGATGGATACTACCGTTCTAGCAGAGTATCTCCACTCAGATTGACATTAGCTTTTTATTATTAACTCCATACAATTTATCCTTAAGGTCAAATTGGATAAGATATGTGGTTCCCAGTGGAGGCATCGTGAAAGCGGAAGATGACACTGATAATGGAGAAGCAGGAAACAGCTAGAGTTGCATTTTTTCTTTTTTTGCATAACTACTACAATATTCAATTTTGTCATACTACTTAGGTATTACCATTACACTGAATTCTTTTAATCAACATAATATAGCAATTTTAATTCACTTTTAACTTGAAAATATCTATGAACACCATCAATACTGTATTTAGTACAGCAAAATACTATTTATATAAAACTTTCTCCTATCAAGACTGGTGTGTGTGTGTATGTGTGTGTGTATATATATATATATAGTCTCAAACAAGTAGGAAATAGGTTATCACCCTTATGTCATGTCACTAGCATAATATTTCCAGTAAGCATTCATGGCAGGAATAAAGCAATGAGAAAATACAGTGAAAAATGGAATATATGAAATATTTGTGGTCTCGTCCTACTCTCAAAGCCTATCATATCATGGGTGGCACCAGAGAAGGCAACATTGGAAAGCAGGTAACAGATTCACATTTCCACCAGGTTCACTAGGGGGAAAACTCTTCTGAAAAGATCTATCGTCTGCTACCGAAGGAATCAATGGAACAAGAGCTCAGGCCTTTTCAGGAGCTGTAAGTCACTCCCTCAGTCTCCTTGCCTCCTGGGTATTCCATATCTCAGCATCCACAGTACTAACCCCAAAGTACTGGCAGAGATACTGGCAAGAGTGCACATGTCCTGGTCTTAACATGAATTTGTTGGAAACAGAATTCTTTTTTTATATCTTACTTGCTACCTTCCATTTTCATGCCCCAGCAAAGAAAATTCCAGTCCAAACATATCAGAAACGCTTACACTTACAGAATCAAAAAATACTCATGCAAAGAAAGCTATATATGGTTTTTTCATTATGTGTTTTCCTACCCTAATCAAAACAAAACAAGACAACAAATTAAGAGGGGATTATTTTAAAAACAGACTATTCTTGGACAGAATAGACATTTAGGGATTATTTCATTAAAAATTAATCACACTGAAAATGAATATAGGTATGTATATGTGTGCTGTACACCAGAAATTGATACAACATTGTAAACTGACTACATTTCAATAAAAAAATTAATGACACTGTTGGATTTATTTTTGTCGAATAACTTAAGATACACGCACTCACCAGAAATACCAATAAACAAATACAAGCTCATGGCATAAAGCAGTGCAGATATGACGGATGCACTGAGTCTAGACATTTCAGTTCTTTAAATTTTCATAATACTTTTAGGATGGGAATCGTCATATGGCCTCTACTGAAAAAATTTGAAAAATCATAAATTTTATAAATGCTGTATTTGTTGACTGTGAGGATGTTCTTGAGATTCAGAAACAATGGGAAGCATAAAAGAAAATAAAAATGGATGCTATGTGCTAGAATTCTCCGTGTCAGTATGAGCATGATAAATGAATTCCTGGAAAGAAAAGTTCCTTCCTGTGCTTCTTCTATCCTTTCCACAGGGGCCTGTGGATTATCGCGGGAACACAGCACTCAGATTTACAAAGCGAGCTTTTGTTCCCACAATTACCCAGAATGAATCATATCCTTGATCCATGGCCCCTGTTGTTGGGTCACAAACTGCAAAAGGGGTTTTGCCTTACATTTCCTCCCCTTTTCAATGTATTTCGCAGTGGGTGGGGGATAATACAATAGGTATTCACCACTTCTTGCCCCATGAAGGACTGGAGAAGAAACAGGGAGCTACAAACCTGGCAAGATACTTCCTGAAGGACTGTCCTGGCATCACACAAGGTAAGACTTATTCTGAGGAGTTTGTACCATTGAATCATTTCTCTCCATTCATCAAATAATAAGGCCACCTGAACCATCGTAAGACTAATGTAAATGAACTTAATTTTTCAAATATTATCAGACTTCTGTTTTGGAGATGAGCAGATTAAAATACTTTCTATCAGAACGCAGAACTAATGGAGGCTTATATCATGTCATGATATAAATACATCTGAAAGGGAAGGAGCCTCAAATATAATTCACCAGAAAATGTTCCATTTGATAAATTCAAAATATTAAAATAAAAAAATATTTTAGCCATTATGCTTTAAAGCATATAAAGCTATAAAGCAAAAAAAAAAAAAAGATCATCCTTTGTACACTTACATTTAACTTTCTTTTCACAAACTTTATTAAGGTTGTGGTTTCCAACAAATTATTTACAAAATGAAGACAGCCAGTTAAGTCTTCTTTAAAGAACTAAGAGAAGGTAAGATGATTTTCTGGCACTCAAAAACTTCATTAGCGATTTTAGTATCACATAAGAGGCATTCACAATTATCCATGTACTGTTTGTATAGGGGGACTTCCGTGAAGTGCAGAAGTTAATAGAAATACTTAAAGGAGCTATTTTTGAAGCATATGTTTTCATATGTATATTGTAGAGCACCAACCAGACAGATGCAAAACACAAAGTGACATTTCCTAACAATTTGGAGTACTGAATCTTGGACGTGGCTTGAGAACTTCTGGCTATCGAGTTTAATAAAAGTAAAAACTTATTGTTTTGGGAGAGCAAAGTATCTCATATATAGCCTTCCCAGGAGCGAGTTTCTCACAGAGTGGTTGGGTCAGCCAGTCTTTGGCATTTAGCACACCTTCCTGGACACTGACTGTGCCATCATGCCCGGAGTGGGGAGGTTATCCTCAGTATTCATCCTCAGGCATGAAAAGTCTTTTGAATTTCTGACCCCTGGATAGGCAAGGAAATAGAAAACACAGTTCTTTTACCATCTTTCATTATTCGACACTTCAAGACATGTGAAGACATTCTGCTTCCAATTCGGATGAAGAAAGATACAAATGACCACTCTCATAGAAACAAGAAGAACTGAGACAAAATCATTACCATTCTTTTCTGGGAAATGTCTAGTGTGTGCAGAAGAGCCCTGATGGGTTCTACAGAGAAACAGGCATCTAATTTATCAGCAAAGAGATGTG